CAAATCACGAACTTTACTGGGTGGCTCAGTGGATAGAGTACTAGGTCTGGAGTCAGGGAGACCTGAGTTCAAATCTGGCTTCAGATATTTACTGTGTGACCCCAGGCAAGTCACTTAACCTCTATTTGCCTTAATACTCTGGAGAAGGAAATGGAAAACCACTCTGGCATCTTTGCCAAGAAAACCCCACAATGGGGTCCCAAAGAGTCAGAAACCATTGATCGACTGATTAACAACAACAACATCCTCTCTATAACCCAGTAAAGTGGGTTAGAATGTGAATATATTGTGAAAAGAGATTCATGAGGATGGCTTTTGACTAAAGCTGGGATAAGACAGTTATGTGCCCTTAGTAAACTTTGAAATTCAGACAACTCTAGAAGAGTGCAAGTTCCAGATAAACTATGCATCTGCACTTGTGGGAAGTCTCAACTATAAGATTTTCCCACATTGATGAAATCAGAGGCCCAGACCCACCAATCCAACAAAATCATTAAAGCCTGTTCTTCATTGTGTCTCCCACAATGTCACCTCCTCTCCACTAACACAGCTATCACCCCGGTTCAAGGCCTCATCATTTCTCACCTGGGCTATCACGATAGCCTCCTATTTTGGTCTTCTTGTCTCAAGCGTCACCCCACTCAAATCCATCCTCCACACAGTCACCAAAGTAGTTTTCCTAAAGCACAAGTTTGATCATGTAACCCCCCTGCTCTACAAACTCCAGTGGCTCCCTATTGCATCAAAGATAAAATAAAAGCTCCTGTTTGGTATTAGAGTTCTTCTCTTTTTACCTTTCCAATCTTCTTATACACTAATCCCAATCCCTCACTCTATGATCCAACCATATTGGTAGACTCACAGCTTTACTCATACAAAATCTCATCTCCCATCATTGTGCCTTTGCAATGGCTATCTCCTCTGCCTAGAAAACACTTTCTCCTCACCCTCACCTCTTAGGATCTCAGGTTTCCTTCAAGACTTAGTTCAATGGGGGCAGGTAGGTGGCACAGTGGATAGATCACTGGCCCTGGAGTCAGAAGGACCTGAGTTCAAATCTGGCCTCAGACACATAACACTCACTAGCTGTGTGACTCTAGGCAAGTCACTTAATCCCAATTGCTTCACACACACAAAAAGCAAGACTTAGTTCAATGTTGTATGATGATCAACTATGAATGACTTAGCTCTTCTCAGAAATAGAAGGCTCTAAGACAATTCCAAAGGACTCATGATGAAAAATGCTATCCACATCCAGAGAAAGAACTGATGGAGTCTGAATGCAGATTGAAGCATACTTTTTTTACTTTCTTTAATTTTTTTCATTCTGTTTCTTCTTTTATAACATGACTAATATGAAAATATGTTTTACATGATTGCACATATATAATCTATATCAAATTGCTTACCATCTTGGGAAGGAAGGAGAAAACTTAGTATTCCTAATTTTATTAAAAAAAGAATGTCAAAAATTGTCTTTACATGTAATTAGAAAAAGTAAAATGCTATTTCACTATCAGTTCAAGTGTTACCTTCCACATGAAGCCTTTCCTCAACCCCTAACTGCTAGTTTCCTCCCTCTCATAACCTCCTTATATTAATTTTGCATGTATTATGTATACATTGATATTTTGATATATGTATGTCTGTGTATATATGCATGTATACACATACTATGTATATGTAATATATATATGTGTGTATGTTCTCCACTGGGGGCAGTGGATGTTCTACCTTTGTCTGTATTGTCAACACTTAGCATAGTGCCTGGCAATAGTGAGTGCTTAATAAATGCTTGTTGCTCATGTGTATTCCACCCTAGGAGTTCCACTTTGCCTACCCTTTGTTCTGATTTTGTCTTTGACATCTTCCACTTTTGTACCTGAAGAAATTAGTCATCAATACTTACATCAAGTACAGCAGATCCAATTACTCCAACCATGGGGTTTCCCGCAAATGTGCTGAAGTGATTCACTTTTTTAATAAAGGAGTTGGCAATCTCTACAGGAAGATAAATAAAAATCTAATGCACAGAATATGAGTCTCACCTATTTTCCTCCAGCTTCTCATCACGCAATTTGGACCACCTTTTCCTTCGTATTGATATCATGCACTCTTTATTCATATAATAGCTGACAAGGAGACAGTCCTTACCTGACATTGTAAGAATGACCCCAATACCTCTAGATAAATGAGGCATGGAGAAAGACACTGGCATTCTTTCCCTCGTCTGTGTCCCTTATCCCCAGGGACTATTTAAAGAGAGTGCCTGTTATCCACAATGCTTCCATTCAACAAATAATAGAAAGAAACAAATGCTATATTAGGCAATTTAGGTAAATGAATTTCTAGGGTATTTCTTGGAGTCAGTCAGATTCAGGTCAATATATTATACTTTTTAGAACTATAATACCCGTTGTACAAGGACCTTTGGAAAAAAATTCTTCAGGACACTGATGGTGTATGTGTTCTCCAGGGTGTCTGTATGGTCATGTTTCTGTGCTGTTTCTAATCATACAGATCACACCATTGGCGGGGTAGGGCAAAAGCTTAAGGATGATGAGCTGAGCCCCAGAATCATCATGTCTGATTATACCAGACTCCCCTCTGCCTTGGAAAAGAAGTCTACTACTGAGACTGAGGAACACGTACTGTAATGTTTTATTGGTCTGAAAGAAAAATACATGCATGTTTTAAGATAGTGAACTCAGCAGGCCTAGCAACAAAAGCAAACTGAGCATTGGTCTTACCTGGAGTGGTTACAACTGCTGACATGGGGAAGCCATTTCCCATTCCCTTGGCCATGGTGACAATATCAGGGAGGATTCCATGACTTTGGAATCCCCAGAAATGAGTGCCCAGCCTGCCAAATCCTGTCTGCACCTGGTGAGAACAGATCAGGAAATCAGGCTTTTTTGAGAAATATTATTTCTTGTAAAATTCACTTTTTAATATGGGTATGATCTCATCATTACCTCATCAATAAACATTTATTTAGCACTGACCATTTGCAGGGCTCTGAGTTAGATATTGAATTTGTCCCTATTTGAGTTAATTGAACTCAGTAAGTATTTATTAAGCACCTACTATATATAAAAGGCACAGTGGTAAGTGCTGGGTACACAAAGATAAAATTAAGTAGCTCCTTCCCTCAAGATGCTCACATGCTACTGGGGATACAACATGTACACAAGTTAAAAAAAGTAATTTCAGGAGGGCAAGATTATTACAAAATATGGTGATGGAGAAAGACTTTATGCAACGGACTATTAGATTGAGAGCTGGGAGGTTACTAGATAGAGATCAGGTCGGACTCCCACATTTTATAGATGAAGAAGATGAAACCCAGAGGGGTTAAAGGATTTTGTCAAAGACACACAGGTGACAAGTGGTGGGAACCCAGGTTTTCTCCCTTCAAAATCGTGTTCTCTGGCAGTGTCTTTGCCTAGGCTGGTAGAGTACAGCTGGAACCCATAGAGCTCAAAAGAAGTGGGAAATCATGTCATAGCATACTCCAGGCATTTGACAAGAGGAACTTCAGTCAGAACTCTTTTGAGTTTATGAGCCACATATAGGAAAATCTTGTTAATTTGCACTCTGTTCATGTGCAAGCTGGGAGAATTCAGGCAGAGATCAGACTGAAGTCCACCTTAGTACAGAGCTTGTCACATTTAGTCATGTACGTTTGTTCCAAGAGTCTCAGTGTAATTTGAAGTTGCACATTAGGTGACACAAGCACCATGGCTTTGAGGCAGAGGAGCCCCAGGACTGCTCTCACCTTTTGAGGAAGGAGGTAAGGTTGGTGGGAAAAGGGAGGGGAGATGATGTGTGCTCCTTAGCGATGTTCCTGCAAAAACTCACAAATAGGAGGCCATGTGTTAACACAGGTTGGTAGTGTATTTTGGAATGCCTAGATATGTAAACTAGACAAGTATAAACCTCTTTCTTGGGTTTTTATTTTGCTGTCTGCATTTTTGCCAGAATCCCTTTCCCTCCCTCTCCTGATGCTAGTGCCTTCCTTCAGAGATTATCTCTCACTTATCCTCCACATATCTTGTTTATCCCCTGTTGTTTATGACTTGTCTCCCCCATTAGACTGTGGGCTCCTTAAGGGCTGGGACTGTTTTTGACTTCCTTTGAATCTCTAACACTTGGCACAGCGCCTGGCATACAGTAAGTACTTAATAAAAGCTTGTTGACTGACTCTCTAGGGAGCTTCCCAATCACAGATACTCTCAATCCCTGGTTTATATTTTGTTCTCAGGCTTCCCTCGCTTTTTTCTTGACAGCTTCAGTCCATTCTCCTCTGAGGGCTCCCATGGGGTAATTGAAAGTGACTTTACATGGAGAAAAGGCACAAGTTGGGTACTCACTGTACTTGAGAAGGTAATAAAGGGTTTTGGAGAGTGAGGGGGAATTCATATTAAAGTGTACTTCCTGAATATTAGAAATTACTTGAGAACAAACTCTTTTCAAATACTTTAGAAACAAGATTTTAATGAAATGATGGAATTTTAGAGCCCAAAAAGATCTTAGGGATTCCCTACTTCACCCCTTCCCCCAATTTTAAAGGACTAAAGAACTTAGGTTATTTACCTAACTGCATAAAGCTATGTAAGGTAGAGAATAAGAATTAGAACCCAGATCTCCTGATTCCTGGTCCAATGTGTTTTCCATGACATCATTCTAATCATTCTTATCTATTCATAAGACAATTTGTTCAAAGACTTCTATCTTGAGGTGACATTTTATTTATCTACTTGTAATTATTTTATGTCCTGAAAAGAATAAGCATAAATTTTGGGAAAATATTCTGTAATTCATATTGGCCTTCCCCCTATTTATTCCAATTTTTGTGGACCGGGTTTGTGCATTTTCTGGTCTATGGATCTTCTGGTGAAGGAACTCTCTCCATTTCCCCCATCAAATCAGATTAACATCTGCTCTGCAATTATAGTCTTAGAGTGTCACCTAGAGCACTAAGAGATGACTTGCTCAAATTCACATAGCCAGTGTGTATCAGAGGCTGAACTTAAACTTGGGTTTCTGACATTGGCTCTTTATACTATAAACCTTACTGACATTTCTGTTCCAAATCAAGAGAAGTTTCTGTATGTTGAATAGGTATACCAGAGATTTTGTCATCACTGGGGCTAAAAAATGCTAGCTGTCATTATTTTATTTTAAGCACCAAATTTACCTTTCTAATTAAACTGCTTACAGTTTAGAATTAAAATTCTATAATGCTATGCTCCCTGATTATACCCTGAAAAGAAATAGTAAGCACGCCACAGAATGGGGCTGATGAAGTGTAGTTGTGAATAGGCAACAGGAAAAGGAAGGGATGGGAGTGAGAAGCTAGTGCAAGACTGAAAGTGTGTCTTGGACAATTCACTGAAGAGATAATCCAGAGCCCATTGTATTTGAGAAGGTAATGCGAAGACGAGATGATGGCCTAACATTTAGCCAGATGATGATTCAGCAGAGGAGACCCATTCACTTCAGTCAACTCAACTGAGTCTGTTGGGGGAATTATCTAGTTCCCAAAGCTTATAAAAAAAATCCTGTTGTTGTTCAGTTGTATTCATTTATGTCTGACTCTTCATGACCCCATTTGACAAGGATACTGGACTGGTTTTTCATTTCCTTCTCCAGTTCATTTTACAGGTGAGAAAATTGAGGCAAACAGGGTTAAGTGACTTGCCCAGGGTCACACAGCTAGTATGTGTCTGAGGCTGGATTTGAATTCAGGAAGACGAATCTTCCTGACTCCAGGCCTGGCACTCTATCCACTGAGCCACCTTGTTGCCCATATCAATATCAAATACCAATGGTAGCAGTACTGTAGTGTGTCTATGATTTTAAGGTGATCACTCTGCAGGACATACCTTATTTGGATGTGTCAGCCCTAACTGGGCAAAAATGAACCAATCAAAAAAGTCAATGTCGTTCTTTTAGAGTCATGCTTTACAATTCTTGCTAGACAGTTCCCATCTTTAAAGAGGCCTGGGTTTAGGGATACCAAGCCCTTTACCTGGGTACTTACTTCATCGGCAATGCACACACCTCCCCTCTCTCTCACCAGCTGGAAGGCTTCCTTCAGAAATCCCTTGGGGTACTGAACCACTCCATTGACACCCTGCAGGAGGCCAAATGAAGGAAATTGTTTAGAGAAGAGCAAGAATTTTGAAAACATAAATCCCCTACAAATATATGGTAGAGTTTTTAGTAGTAATAATAATGGCAAAGATGAAAAAAACCCCACAAAGCCATTGGTGGAAGACTTTGTTTGAGACATCCCTCAAAATCAAAGCATGTATAGGTTTGAGACATTTCTTGGAGAGTGAGTAGAATTCCTCATTTCTTGGGTGAGAAAAGAAAACACAGACTTAAAGACACAAGGCCCAGAAGGCCAAGGTAGAGTGTAATGACAGTGAATGTTTTTCAGTGACCAACCTAGGTAGATTGAAATTTCTTTCTATAGAGAACTTTAAAAATAGCGTCTACCCATCAGTCAAAAATTGTTTAGGTCTGGTTCTGCCTGAACTTAGGGAAATGGACTATATATACAACCTTGAAATATTCCTTGTATAACTATGATTATGTACTTTTAAAAATTTTTGGTAAGGCAATAGGGGCTAAGTGACTTGCCCAAGGTCACACAGCTAGTAAGAGTCAAGTGTCTGAGGTCAGGTTTGGACTCAAGTCCTCTTCACTCCAAGGCCAGTGTACCACTGCTATACCACCTAGCTGCCCCGATTATGTACTTTTTCAAGAAGGGATGATGATACGTGGAGTTTAGGAAGAGAGGTTGTGGTAGGCACCACTTGTCAATTTGCTTGGGTATTCCATAAAATGGATAAGTTAATTTTGGTGTAATTTCCCATTCAGATCAATGAATGTCCATCATGAACAGAAATACCCACCTGAATAGGCTCTGCAAAAAAGCCCGCAATTTCTCTGGCTACCACAGTATGCAGAGTATTTTTGAACTCTTCAACATATTGGCTATTGGCCTTGCAGCAACCTACATGGTGAAGATGGAAATGTTTTGGGATGAGAGAATAGTATTCAAGAAGTGCCGGTTGTCAAGGATCTCCAATTGTCTTGGTGCAGCAACTTGTCTGTGACATACGATCTTGTAAAAAAATTATGAACTTGAAAAGTTTCAACAAATCTCAACATGCCCATAGGGAAAGAAGAATAGAAAGGGAGAATTGTATGTGAACATGTATATGAAATAATCTCTGTTATGTACAGCTTGTTTTTGAAGAGCATATGTTAAATTTAACAGAATACCAGTTCTGTGCAGTTTGTCTGTCACCTTCTGAAATTCTATAGTCCAATGACACTGATCTTCTTGCTCTTCCTTGCTGTCTTTGATTCTAACCATTTTCACTCTCTGCCCTCCATACCTGGAATGCTCTTCCTCCTCACCTCTACTTTTCAGTTTCCCTGGCTTCCTTCAAGATTCAGCTCAAATTCTACCTTCTGAAAGAGGCCTTTCTTGGTACTCTACAATGTCAGAGTCTTCCCTCTGAGTTTACCTTCCATTTCCACTGTATATATATTTGTATTTACATAGCTATTTGCATGCTTTTGCCCCCATTAAGATGTGAACTCCTCAAAGGCAATGACCAGGTTTTTTGTCTTTTTTTGTATCCCTAGCATTTAGCACAGTGCCAAAATGCTTGTTGTTATTGATGATGAATTGTTGGAAACATATTCTATAGAGTTCTTTTATTTTTTCCCCAACAATAAGTGTGTTCTAAACTTTTTTTTTTTTGCTGTCGAAAATGGCTGAATCAATTCACACCTATACCAACAACACATTAGCGTGCCTCTCCTCCCATGACCCCTCCAGCAAGTGTCATTTTCTTTTTCTGTAATCTTTGGCAATATTATGAAGGTAAGGTGAAACATCAGACTTGTTTTAATATGAATTTTTCTTATTATTAGTAATTTGGAGCATTTTTAAATGTGACTATTGATGGCTTGCATTTTTCCTTTTGAAAACTGCTTGTACATATCCTTTGGTCATTTATCTATTAAGAACAGATCTGCTAAAGATACAAATAAAAGACAAAAAACATGGTCACTGTCCTTGAGGAGCTCATATTTGAATGCAACAACATGCAAATTGCTATGTTCATTCAAAATGGAAGGTAAACTCAGAGGGAAGACACTAATATTGTAGGGTATCAAGACAGGTTTCTTGTAGAAGGAAGGATTTGATCTGGATCTTGAAGGAAGCCAGTGAAGGTTAGGAGGGAGAATATTCCAGGCATGGAGGAACATATAACTCTTGTCATATATTTGCATAAATCCCCCATATATCTAGGATACCAGGTTTTTATCAGAGAAATTTGATGCAAATTCATTTTCCTCAGGTCACTGTATTCCTAGTAATTATAGATCTATTGAACTTGGTTATGCAAAAAAACTTTTAAATTTTATGTAATCAAAATCGTTCATTTTATCTTTTATGATCTCTCCTATCCCCCGTTTATTTAACAAATATCCCCCTAATCAAAGTTGTGAAAATTCTCTAATTTGATTATGATGTGACCTTTTATATCTAGGTCCTATATCCTCTTAAAGATTACTGTGGTATAGTGTGTGAGATGACAGTTTAAATCTAATTTCTTCTACAATGTGTTCAAATTTTCCGACTAGTTTTCATCAGATAGTGAGTCCTTATTCTAGTAGATGGTATCCTTGGTTTTATTAAAACAAGGCTATTCTGTTTGATTACTCCTGGGTCTTATGTACCTAATCTGTTCCACTGATCCATTTTTCTGTTGTTGTTGTTGTTTTTTAAACCACAACCAAATAGTTTGGTTGTTTGTTGCATTGTAGTATAGTTTGAGCTTTGGTACTACTGGCTTTCTTCATTCCCACTTTTAAAACTTATCTCCTTTGAGGTTCTTGACATTTTGTTGCTCCAGATGAATTTTGTCTACTTCTATAAAGTAATCCTTTGGTAGTTTAACTGGTATGGCACTGACTTTCAATTAATTTAGGTAGTATTGCCATTTTTATTGTAATTAGCCTAGTCCTACCACGAGCAATTAATAAGTCCTCAATTTAAGGCTACCTTTGTTTCTGTAAAGATTGCTTAACTATATTCATATAACTCCCATATGTATTTTGGTAAGTCAGCTCCCAACTATTTTATACATTGAGTATATTGTTATTTTTGAATGGAATTTCCTTTCCTACTCATTTCTGTTAAATTTTGTTAATAACAATATATAGAAAAGTTGATGATTTTGTGGGTTTATTTATTTCCAGCTATTTTACTGAAGACATTAATACTTTTAAATAATTTTATAGTTCAATCACTAGGGTTCTCTAAGTAAACTCTCATATTATTTGTAAAAAGTGGTAATTTTGTTTCTTCTTTGTCTATGTTTATTCTCTACATTTCCATTTCTTGAACTATATCAAATAATAGTGGTGAAAATGGATATCATTGCTTACCTCTGCTCTTATTGAAAAGATTTCTAGCATATTTTCATTAAAAATAATGTTAATTCTTGGTTTTATATACGTAATAGTTACCTCATTAAGGAACAATCCACTTATTCCTATAATTTTTAATGTTTTTTTAACATAAAAAGGTGTTATTTTTTCTTAAAAGCTTCTCCACAGATATTTTATAATTATGTGATTTTAAAAATTGTTTTCATTATTAATATAGTGCATTATGTTTACAATTTTCCTAATATTTAGATAATTCTGTAGTCATTGCGTACACAATGGAGAAAGGAGGGGATTGTAGTTATAGAGCTGGAAGGCACCTCAGAATTCAGATGAGGAAACTGAGACTCACAGAGGGTAAGCCTTGTCCAAGGTTACATAAGCAGTAAAAATCAAAGGAAAGACTCGAACCCAGATTCTCTGCTTTCAGTCTATTCATAGTGTATATTCTTTTTGATAAGTTACCATAGTTTCTTTGCTAATATTTGTTCAATATTTTCCCATTGACCTTGATTAGAGATATTAGCCTAGCATTTTATTTCTCTGCTTTATCTTTACTTTAAGTACCTAGATATTATGCTATTTAGTGCATATATATTGAGAATTGATATTACTTCATTATTTATGTTATTTTTAGGCATAATGTATTTTTCCTGTGTATCTTTTAAAAACATTTATTTTTATTGTTGCCTTGACAGAAAACATATTTATTAATGACTTTTAAATTCTCTTAAGGTATAATACATTTTTCTCCAACTGCTTTTTTAAAAGTCTGTGTGAATCTTTACATTTCAAGTGGGTTTCTTACAAACAACACTTTGGATACTGCTTTCTATTCTAGTATTCTATGCTTTTCCGTTTTATGGTTGCATTCATCCCTTTCATATTCATAGTTATGACTGTTAATTTATTTTCGTCTTTTTCCCTCCTCCATATCCTTTTATATTTTTTATTTACTTTGCCCCCAGTCTTTCCTTTATAAAGAGGAAGCTGAAGAAATAAATGCAATATAATTAATATTAATAATCTATAATTGATGTGGTATGAGCACATCTCCCCTTTTCTTCAAGTTGAGACCTTTATTACTGACTCTTACACTTTCCCTCTTTGTTCCCCATTTAAAATCTGCATGTCAAAGTTGAAGTGTGTTTTGCTTGCTCCCTGACATTTACCTCTCTGTTAAATCCCTGCCTCCTTTTCCCTTGTCTGCCTATTATTTATTTATTTATTTATTTAAATCCCTGCCTATTTTCCCATTGAATGTAATGTATTTATTTCTACGTCAGACTCATGTATGTGTATGTTCAACTTATCTTTGCCTGGATCAGATAAGAGTGAAGTTCATGAGATTCCCATTCTCCCATTCTCTCATTCTGGTTTGTACACTCTTTTTCTCACATGTCCTGATTATGAAAAATAGTAAAATTCTCCATCTTTTTTCTTATTTTTTAGTATATTCCTTTTTTCCTCCCATTTTTTTGTTTAAAACCAACAAGTTAAAACAAAACCATTCCCAGGACTTTTGCTTGTATTTCTTTGTTTTCCTTGAAGACAATCGAATTACCATTTGGCCCCTTCCAATTTTTCTAATGTATCTACCTTTCTATGTTTTTCTTGTCTTCTGTGTTTGAATTTCAAATATGTTGCCTAAATCTGGACTGTTCATGAGGAATATTTGAAATTCCTCTGTTCTATTAAAGGCTCATTTCCCCGTTGTTCTTATTTTTGCTACATAAGTCTTCCTTGGTTCTAAGATTTTATCTTTTACCTTTTGGAATATTGTATTTCAAGATTTTTTTTCTCCCTTGATTTCTAGTTGTAGCCATAGTCTTGTGTGATTCTGACTGTGGGGTCCTTGGTACTTGAACTATTTCTTTCTGGCCGTATTTTTCCGCCTTAGGCTTTTTTGACTTGTAATCTGTGGATTTTACTTAGTATATTTCTAGGTGTGTTCAGTTTGGTTTCATTTAGGAGGTGACTGATTGATTCTATTTTCACACTGCCTTATGGTTTTAAGAGATTTGAGTACTTTTCTTTGATATGATTTCTTGAAATATAATAGTCAGGTTTGTTGTTTGGCCACAGCTTTCAGGTAGTCAAATGATTCTTAAATTATGTCTCCTCGACCTGTTTTTCAGGTTCTTTGTTTTTGAGAATAGATGCTTTGTATAGTCTAATTTTTAATTTTTTTATTTTGTTCTTATATTTCTTTTTGTCTCATGGAATCATTGAGTTCTGATTATTTTATTGTACTTTTTAGGGCATCTACTACTTGAGTGAGTTTTTCAGCCTTCTCTTCTAAGCTATTTATTTGTCTTTCATTTTTTTTCCCTTTAAGAGGTCTGATTTGATTTCTAATCTTTTCTTTCACTTCTTCCAGGCACCATTAGAAGCCTTATGACCATTCTTTTCTCTGAGGCTCTATTTATGTTTATTTTGGCAATATTCTTTTCTTCTGGATTTATCTCTGGGGCTTCTCTGAATAAATAGTATTTCTTTTTTGCTTGCATTTGTTTACTCATTTTGTTTGTAGTCTTAGTTACT